GCTGAAAAATTTTTTAACAACTCTAATTTCAATCAGTATTCTTTAGTCAACGAATCCTGAAACATTCTTAAGATTTCCTTTATATCTCATCTTATACTTGACAAATTTTTAATGATTATTATCTAGACGGTGAATCATAAAACTACATAAAAATCCCACTTTTCCTTCCTCCATCAGGTGTATTATTACATTATCTTAAAATTTTCTTCACACCGCATTTCATCCTGATATAAACACTCTTCAATGATTGGCGGTGAATTATGAAAATTTATAAGAAATTATTTGGCATCTCTTTTTGTAATGAGAAAATCTTTTTGAGATGTTCTGAATTACTTCATTAAACCTTCTCCCAGATTCTAATCCTTCTTTTAATTTTCTGCTTGTGATTTACTTATTACGGGAAACCCCACAGTATTCGGCATTTAATTCAATATTCAATGAGTATATTTCGCTTTAAATAAATACAACTAAATAAAGAAATACATGAAACTGATTTGTATTAATTCTTAAATATAATTTTAAAAGTATTCTAAAACAAATAAATAAGTAATTATTATTTGATATATAATATAGCTTCCAGCAAACCAAGCTTGTGCCAGATTCTAAAAATAGTGCTCACCCATCACATATAAAAAACTTATAAATGAATGTTTATTAAATTATTAAAATTAAAAAAAAACATACCAACTAAACTTTTAAATAAATATAAACAAATAATATATAAATATAAACGAATCGAATATTATATATTTTTTATAAAGATATAAATTAAAGTCAATATCTGTCAAATGAAGTTTTTTGAACTTAAAGCATAAATATAATTATACAAATTAATTAGAATTAAAATTTTAAAAATATATTATTAAATTTAATAACAAACAATATTTTTTAAAATTTTTTTTTTTTTAATATCCAATAATTATGTCTGAGGGCTAAATATTTTATCGTTTGCTGTCAAAAACGATTTATCAATTTAATACCACATTTGAGCGAAACGCAAAAAGCCTATCAATCTATGAAGTTATTAAGTATATATTTTTAAGTGTTTAAAATAAAAAAAAAACTAAATTTCTTTTAATAACATGTTTTAGTTGACTACACCCATTAATTAAGTAGTTAAAAACTAGTTATTTAATACTCAAAAAGTATTTAATGTAAAATTTGGTTTTTTCGTTGTAATTTTTATTAATATATAAGTTAAAAAATTTTTTAAATAATAATTATATTTAAAAATAATTTAAAAAATATTGTACAAATTTTACTAAATATAATGGGTGCCTATTTTTACTATATGTATGTACAAATAATAATTATTGATATCATTTATTTAAAACTAGTGAGTTCAAATAATTTTTTAAGTCATTCAAAATAGAAAAAGTGCTTTTCACTAAGTTTTTTAATCTTTTTTAAATAATAAGTATTTAATGTTTGCTATAAACAATGCTGGTTCGTTAGAAATAATAAGGAATTTTTAAAATAATTCACAATTTATATTAACTCAATTTTATGCTAACCACCATTTACTATACTTTCTTTGTTTATTCTCAAGTCCATTTTTATATTTCGCTCAAAAAGTTCTTCAGTGACGCATCTTATTGCTTACTATAGCACTTTTATTTGAACCATTAATTTTTTTTTGTTTACGCAACTGTTTGAAAGCATTTATTCATATATTTATTATTAATTTTTATTTAATTTTTGTTTTTCTAAGATTTTGCAATTGTAAAAACAGTTGTCAACTTTTAAACCTAATTTCACAATCCACTTAGCTTGCGTTTCAACGAGTTCAGTCATTATTCATTAAAAAATAATTAAAAGATAATATTTAAAATTAATTTGAAATAAATGATATGCTAATTTTTTCTTAGAATCTGATAATATAATGATTCATTTTTTCTAAATAATAATAATAAATACTTATAAATATATGTTAGAGATAATCT